AGGTCACAATTCATCAGGGAGCCCCAGGTAAGAACTCAAGGTAAGAATCTGGAGGCAGGAGCTGGAGCACAGGCCATGGAGGATCACTGCTTACTGACTTGCTCCCTGGCCCCTGCTCAGCCTGCTTTCTTATGCAACACAGGTCCACCTGCCCAGGGGTGGCACCACCCACAGTGGGCTGGGCCCTCCCACATCACTCAACAATCAACAGGATGTCCCACAGACATGGCCAGAGGCCAGTCCTATGGAGGAAATTCCCCAATTGAGGCTCCCTTAACCCAGGTGCGTCAAGTTGACACTAAAGCTATCCAGCACAGCCTACAAATAGATCTTTTCTAGTCTCCTCTTCTATTTTTGACTCTTGAATAAGCTGATCTGCCCCCCTCCACCCTGAATCACCAAGACAGTTTTAAAAAAAAAAAGTGCCTTCATATTAGTTCACTGTATCAGTCAACTTTCCATTACTACAACAAAATACTGTGCTCATAAACTTATAAAAAGAAAAGGCTATTTTAGGTCACAGTTTGGGAAGTTTCTGGCTGTCACTGATTGGCACCATCTGGGGGAGACTTTTGAAAGGTAGCAGGAGTATATGGCAAAGTAAAACTGTTCATCTCATAGCAAAGGGGTGAAGAGAAAGGAAGGTCTGCTATTCTACTATTGCCTTCAGGAGCACATCATCAATTACTGAAAGCCCGCACATGAGGCCCCTTCCCTTAATGGTTCCACTGCCACCCAATACTATTACTTTGAGGACAAACTGTTAACACATGGGCCTTGGGGGGAGGGGGTCAGTCCATATCCAAATCACCAGGACCAAAATTCATGAAGGGTAACAAGAGTCTTCAAATTCCAGGAATGATCTGAGTCCCTTCCGTGTTTTCAGTGCCCAGTGGCAACAAACCCCCAGTAGCATCTGTATATTATCTGACACAGAAGATGGGCCGCACCTCCCGAGCGCCAGCACCTTGACATTGGGACTGGCCTTTTCCTACTACACTAAATAAGGATCATGTCAATTAATCTTCAGTGTCCAAACTTTAACAATGCCTTCCCAAGGGAAGATGGAGTTTCCTAACAAGATTTGTTTCTCCTCCAGCCTCTTCCTTAATGTCTCCACATAATGGATAGAACCTCAGCAGAACTTTATTAAAAAATATAGATGAAGCCACCTGGGTTTCAAGATGTAATTTGAAACTTGGCTGCAGCACGCAGCAAAGGAAAGGCAGAGTTAACCATGAGAGCACAAAGACTAATAAATGAACAGCGCTGGTGCATTATAATCACATTCAGATAGGGACACGTATGCTCCCCAAGAAAAACAACCTGCTGTGTTTTAGTACATATTTCAGAATGTATCTCAAATATCTACCCAGCAATCAAGCTAAGGGAAATGCACGACTCATGTATAGTTCTCCATTTTCCCTAGAGAACGTTTCAGCAGCATACGAGAGTTCGGATTGCAATGGTGGAACCAGAAAATCCACCTAAGAGTAGCGACTCACTAGCTCTGTGACCATGAACTTGTCCCTCAGCTTCTCTGTGTTTCAGAATGTTCATTTGTATGAGGATGTTAGTATCTGCCTCACAGGACTTGAGAGATTAAGGTAAGTTCATACATTTGCAATGTACTTCAAATGGTGCCTGCTCAATATGCTCAGTGAGTGAATAGTATTGTCACTGTGGCTTCCAAAGGGTAGAGGAGAAGGGAGTCTGACCTTTCTAAACAGCTTGTGAGATGAAGGAGCCATCTTTCTAGTGGCAGTGCTCCAGATAACTGAGGGGGTTCCAAGGCTCTTCTGTGTTTGTTCAGAGAAGTTTCAAGCCACTGCGGAAAATGCATGGCCTGAGTGCAAAGAAATGGTTGGAAAATGATCTCTCAACCAGTGTTAATGGAGCATTTGCCATGTGTGTACTGAAGGGAATCCTGTAGCAGTCAAGGGCAGGATGTGAGAAAGCCAATGTTTGGGCAAGGGACGCTTCACAACAGTCAAATACGAAAGAGAGTGTTCAAGTGGCAACTTAGAGCTTGTGTCTTAGGAACTATGAAAGTAACTCTGGATGATTTTTTCTAATACACAGTTCAAGGGTAAATTTCAATTTAATATCTATTCCTCTTGTTAATGTTTCCATAATTTTCCATTGACTTAGTTCATTAGTAAACAAGTTATAAACTTTGTTTGTGCCAGTATTAATGACCAACACTGAGTTGCATTATCTTTGCAAGAAAATGGAGAGTTAGAGTAAATATAAAAATGGCATCAAAGGTACAAAATTTACTTACATAAGATGAACAGGTCCTGGCCCTCTACATTGCAGTTCAGTACCTACAGTTAACAATATTATATACTTAGCATTTGCTGAGGATGTAGATTTCAGACAGTCTTATCACAAAAATTAAAGATAGAGAGAAGACAGAATAGATGGTAGACAGACAGTAAATAGATAAGTAATAGATAAATGATAAATAATAGAATATTGATGCATAGCTAGATGCAGATATAAATGATTGAGGGTGCCGGAGAGATGGCTCAGTGATTAAGAGCACTGGCTGCTCTTGCAGAGGACCTGGGTTCGATTGTTAGAACCCACATGGCGACTGACAACCATCCAATACTCCAGTTCCAGGGGATTCAACACCCTCTTCTGAGCTCTGCAGGCATTGCACAACATGGGTGTGCTTACGCACATGCAGGCAATACATTCATACACCTAAAATTAAAAGAATAAATAAAATAAAATAATAGGTGATTGAGAGATAGATAATAGATGACTGATTGATAGGTAACTAGATGATAGATAAATAATAGATGATTGATAGGTGATCTTAAGGCAAGCAGAAACTTTTGAAGGAGATGCATAGTTTTATTGTATAGAATGTGGTTATTGTTTTCTCCAAACCCATCAAATTGCATGCCTTAAGTATGTGTGATTTTTGTAGGTTATTCATGCTGCAATAAGATGAATTTTTAAGTAGATATTATTTTTGAGCACTTATATGTGTGTTGAACCCTGCTCTGATATGTGTGTGTACTCTTTTAATAATCCAAAATTCTTTCAAGACAGTCCCATTAGTAACGGCAATTGGCAGTAGCTAGCTTTCACAACTATACTCTAGTACTCAGAGGGGGAACATAATATAATCTTACATTCCATTTACTAATGTCTGCTGTGATCAGATGACGCTTCAGGCCAGCAGTCTGCTAACATATGGCTCAGGGTTTGACATTCCTTCTACAACTCTTCTGAGACTTTTGCTTCCTGACACCTCAGCTAAGGTGAAAGAAGTCACATCACCTCTTGGCTATCTGGACCCAGAAGTACCCCTATTATTTCTGCTTACATCCCATTAGTCAGAAATCATTGTGATCAACCTTCCTGCAAGGCAGGCTGGGAAATGTACAAGGATATGTCGATATCAGTATAACATCCTGGATTTCAGTGACTTATGAAAGATATTACTAAGCTCTTAATACACAGAGGTGCCTAATTAATGATCATCAAATAGAAGCATTATGATGTACGTACATGCAAATAGGTGAATTTGACAATTTGTACTCACTCTTGGATGTAATGCATTTAAGGTCACATGGAACGCGGGTCTATGGAGTCCAGGCCAGCACACTGTATGCCCTGAGGCTTCAGATCACTCCTCAGCAGAGACCCAAGCAATCAGTTTCCATCATCCCTGGCATTCTCAGCATAGAGATCTCAAAGTCTTTACACTTCCCCGAAGCCCTAGGGCGTGTTTCCTCACACTGTTCCAATCAGAAATATTACCCACTACCTATTGCATAATAGTTTCTTTGGTGGACTCAAAAACTACAGTGGAGAAGAATCTACAGATTTTGAATAATGAGGTTTCAGTTTCAGAAGTTGGTATGTAATTCTTTGTAGTGAGTACACTTAGGCTTGTATCCATGTCAGTATTTCTGCTTTCTACTGAACAGTTTAGTTCTCTAACTGATGCTTTCTATTCAATGAGGGGATTTTATTACGTAGCTTTTTATTAAGTTTCTCAAAGTCAGACATTGTCCAAGGGACATGTGTGTGCAAACAAGGGTTATGCATGTATGCAAACCAAAACTAACAAGAATTATTGATTGATGTGAGCATCAGCAATATTCCATTCAGTATTTACTGAGCATTTGTACTGAGCAGGTACTAAGCAAGAATAGCCCTGTTACATACTGTAAAAATATCTTTAACATCAATATTCAGTTGACTGAACTTTAAACATGGACTGTAATTTTAATTCAAAAATGTGCATGTGGAGTGGGCGGGTGTGTGTTTGTACAATCTGGGAAGAGATGGACAGTAAAATGCATAACACATCCACAGATTAAAATGTCAAAAGATTTATTCTGATTGCAGGCTGAAATGTCAGAAGATTTACTCAATTACATAGACAGGATTTGCAAATAAGTGTCCTTCCCAAAATTTATGATTCACATATGGAATGAAGCTTAAACAAGACCACTGCAAATAACATCATCTTAAATATTTTCCTGTTTGAAAACATCATGTACAATTATTTCCAACCAGATAAAATTAAGGACAAGTCAAAGAGAAATGATTCTGTTAACAAAAGTGATGTGTAGACACAATTCCTCTAGTCAAGTCTCTTTCCTAAGTTGAGGCATAAACTTTCCTAAGTGCTTTTGATACTTCAGGGAGATGATGCCAGTTGGTCTCTAGATACCACTTTAAAAGGCTACAGCAACCCAAGACAACATAGCACAGAGAGCGATGGCTACAGACAGACAGAGAGCCATCTGGATACTGGAGACCCTTGCTTTTCGTCTGCTTCGTCTGTGCTTTGCAGAAGAACCTTGCCCACTCCTCATTTCTAACGACTGTATATATTAAGCTCTTTGAAATGTGAGTATTATGGGAAGGATCGCAGTTGCTTTAAATTATAGAAGTTGGCAAGTGCCTGAAAGAAGGCGTGGGAGGTTGTTTAAACTGAGAAGGACAGTTGCAAAACTTCGGTCAGCAGCGTGAGCTCCCCGCTTCAAGCACACTCACGCTCAGACCAGCACTTTATTTTTCATCAAGATTTTTTTTTACATTGTTTTGGAGAAGCCTTGAATAATAAACATATTTCTGCTTTGAAGTTTTTTAATTGTTTCTAAATTCATGGGGGAATCAAAGCAAGAGCAGCTCATGTTTGGGGGAAAAGTCTGAGCCTAGCAACGCCCAGGAAAGGTAAGCCACCATTTTCACTATAGTTTTTCTCTTTTCCCTTCCTCTTTGAACTTCATTGAAATATTTGCCAGAATAACTGCAGACAGCTACTTGTAAAGAAATGGGGAAACATGGACATAGAGTGTCAACAAATGATAAATCAGAGTTGGAAAACCAGCAGCGGTGTTCTCTGACTCTATCCTGCTTGGTGCGTGTATCTCTGTGAAATGTCAGTGTATGAAAATGATATTTCTCATAGAAAAGGTGGGAAGGGGGTCTTCAAAGTCCCCATTCTGTTAAGCATAGCACTGTCCAGCGTGGTGGTGGGCTAATTTACTGCCAATGTCTTTGTATCTATGTTTAGATACGACTCAACTTCCAGAACTAAAATTCTTATAACTTGGAAAACTTTCTCATAGATTTTAGTGTCATTCTAAACCTCTCAATCATGGTTACTGCAACTTACCGTGAATTTGTTTTATAGAATTTTTTTACAGTAAAGTAAATCATCTGGCTCCTTCTTGTAATGGCATAGAGGATGTGACAGATACTTTATCTCTCGGGAGGGAAAGAAAAAACAGTTGAACTCGACATTTGTTATTCAAGACACAGTAGGCTAATGATGTCTTTGTCTTATCAGTTGTGCCTTACAAGCAGGTAGCGAGCAGAACCCAGAGACAGCACTTTGTTTCCCTATGCATTGGTCTTATCAGAAGCATCTTGTGGTTAGGGTGGTAGGGCATGCGAACTTTCTGTGCATCCTCTCTATTTCCTGGAGAAAATCTCTGTTATCAGTATTTCTATCTTTCCAAGGCAAAATCCCAGGTGCAAAAAAAAAACAAAAAACCAGCTATCCACTGAGATCTGCAAATCCATCCTGCAGGCTAAAATTTTTAGCAGAGCCCTGCTTTCGTTCCTATCCGCACACACAGATGTGCTCACAGGCAGAGGTTAAAGAAGGTAGGTTTGATTGAGCCCGAGTGGTTTGGGACATGGAGGCAGCGTCAGTCCGTAAGACCACTGGTGTAGAAGTGTTAGCGACCCAGCTGTCAGGCCGGGGAGGGAATGGGAGGCCGCTGCTCTTCAGCTAAGACAGACTCTACCTTCTTGTGCAAGCAGTTGCTGTTTCTAGAATATTTTTCCCTTCTGTGTCAAGGTCTAGTTATATAAGGGTGATTTCCGCAGCTTCCCTTGCCTGTGGTCTCTGTGATTAAGGTCAGAGGAAAGGCATTGTTATATAAAATCAAGGGAGCAGATCTATTGGCTCTAGGCAAGGTGGTCAAGGGACACCATTCGTTAGCTACCTCCCTCTCCCCGTAATTGCTATTGGACTGAGTGACCCACAGCTGTCAAGTCATAGACGTCTCTCCTGAATCTTCTCTGCCCTCCTTTCCTCCTTTCACTCTATCCACGCCAGCCTACTGACCACCACGACGGTGCAGGGGATCTGAGAGGAAGACAGCCGATAGCTTCCTTTCAAGTCCTTTCGGCCCATCCCTGGCTAGCCCCCACCCTATCTGGAGGGGGGGGTCCTCCAGAACCCCACCCATGACCTCATCGCAGCAGTTAGAGAACTGGAGCGCCGGCGGTTGCATGGCGCCTGAGTGGGCCCTGGGGAAGGGTGCGGCCTAAAAATGCGCAGTATGGCATGATGTGGCTTCCGATTATGGCTCCGGCAGAGGCTGGTGGCATCTCTAGAAGCCAAATCCGCCAGGCCACGCATCAGAGCCCAAGAAGCCAGCACCCCCACTCGCCCATACACACACACACACATACACACACACACACACACACACACACACACACACACACACACACCAAGAAAGACCAAAACAAAAGGCGGTCGAGGTTGCTATGGAAGACCCAAGCCAGCTGACTCATCCGAGGTTCAGTCACGCGGCTTTGTGATGAAACCTGGACAGCGCCTTGGAAATGACAGGTCAGGGTTGTCCTCAAAAGGGTCCTGATGAGAGAGACCTGAGGTGACCTAATTGAGTGTCCTTGCTGCAGAGAGTCTGAGAGAGAGAAAACAGCCTTTGCCAGGGGCAGGGGGAGGAAAATGTTAACTACCAAATTGCCAGGAGGATGGTGGCTATCTGTCTAACTAGCTTTGGTAGAAGCCAGGATTAGCCAAGATTGTGGCTGCAGGCACAAGTCCCAGGTTAATGACCTTCATCTGACAAGCCAGGTTTAGGTCTCAGGAGCCCACGAGCTAGGAAAGGAATACCATCTTATTCAACAAGCCTTTGCTGAGGACTAGTGTGTGCCAGGTACTTTAGCGAGATGCTTTAAATGTGTTTATTAACAAAGACACACATTAACGGTAGTACAGAAAAAGAAAAAGGAAAAAAAAGAACACAAACACTTCACAAATCAGTCTGCTTCAATCAAAGAAAATTCCCATAAGACTGCCTTTGAACTAGACTTCGGAGGATGAGCCCCTTACCATGAGAAAGTCAAGGGAAGGTAATTCCAAGCAGGGCCTCAAGTGCAAAGGCAGAGGGTTACGAAGATCACTCAGCTCCCCTAAACCAAGTAGTACCTGGATGGTGGACTTCTGTTTTGCAAGTGAGTTTGAGGCAACTGGCTTAATGGAGATTAGTGAGAGGGTAGCCCAAAGTATTTCCTGGTCAGGCAAATTTGAGGATGTGGAAAGCTGTGCCTTGAGCAGGTACTAAGCCATGCACTGAGCAGGCACTAAGCTATGCATTGAGTAGGCACTAAGCTATGCACTGAGCAGGTACTAAGCTATGCACTGAGCAGGCACTAAGCTATGCACTGAGCAGGTACTAAAGTTCTGCACTGAAGGTTCTGGATTCACAGATGTCTCACAGATCCCAGCTTCCATGGCAAATATATCCATCTTCTGTGGGCATTCAGAGGATTGCAGGGGAAATCCATGTGAAGGCCTACTCTCAAAATGCCTGGCTTGAGAGTTTGATAATTGTCAGCTATTATTAGCTGTTCAGTACCAGTTTCTTTGCTGTAGGACCTCATCCACACTTTAGACTAAGCTATGCATTGAGTAGGCACTAAGCTATGCACTGAGCAGGCACTAAGCTATGCACTGAGCAGGCACTAAGCTATGCACTGAGCAGGCACTAAGCTATGCACTGAGCAGGCACTAAGCTATGCACTGAGCAGGCACTAAGCTATGCACTGAGCAGGCACTAAGCTATGCACTGAGCAGGCACTAAGCTATGCACTGAGCAGGCACTAAGCTATGCACTGAGCAGGCACTAAGCTATGCACTGAGCAGGCACTAAGCTATGCACTGAGCAGGCACTAAGCTATGCATTGAGTAGGCACTAAGCTATGCACTGAGCAGGCACTAAGCTATGCACTGAGCAGGCACTAAGCTATGCACTGAGCAGGTACTAAGGTTCTGCACTGAAGGTTCTGGATTCACAGATGTCTCACAAATCCCAGCTTCCATGGCAAATATATCCATCTTCTATGGGCATTCAGAGGATTGCAGGGGAAATCCATGTGAAGGCCTACTCTCAAAATGCCTGGCTTGAGAGTTTGATAATTGTCAGCTATTATTAGCTGTTCAGTACCAGTTTCTTTGCTGCAGGACCTCATCCACACTTTAGCTGGTTAATGTGCCCTCAGACTCTTCATGAGTGTGGGTCATTAGAGTCTAATGTTTTCCAAACTCACTAGACCAGGAAATGGTTCTTTTCCAAAAAGGATGAATGTGTGTTGAAAAATAGTGAGATTGAGCTGGCCCTGGTGAGCAGAGAGTAAATGTCTTTAAAGAGTATGAGATTTCCCAAGATGAAGCTGCAAAGTAGCCAACGCTCACCAGCCTCTTCACAAAATACCCTCTAGAAGCCCAATAAGATCCTCACATCCAAGAAAATTGATTTATAAAATCCATTTTCAACTTTTAGATAGAAAGGGGATGGCAAAGATAATTTTTGTCAGTGATTTCACACTTGAAAAGTCAGCCTCTATTTATTATCTAAAGGCTGACTTTGTAAAGGGTTAATGCAAATTTGAAAAGCTAGCAGAAATCACTATCTCACTTCCCGGGACTTAGCAACTGGAGGGAGAAAATAAAATATGTATTCCAGATTTGAAACACAAAATTATATCGTTATAATATATAATGTAAAAGAGACTCCAAGTAAATGAAAATTCAAAAAATGACCCAAATAATCAGAATAATCAGCCACATTCTTTGATGCCTGGCATGTTCAAAGAATCCTGCTAAACCTCATTCTCTGAATAGTTTATTTATGCCGTATACCCCTCAAGGTGAAAGAAGGCTGACTCATCCCACAGGTAAAAAAGTTGACGAATTCACAAACCTATGGAACACAGTCTTTCAGTGTCAAAGAGGTAAAGTGAGGTTTCCAACTTTGGTACACCTGATGCCCTGTGCCCTTGGCTAACACTCCTCAGTGCAGGTAACAGGTAACCAGGCCTTAAAGGATGAGTAAGGAGGGGATGAAGAGATGGCTCAGGGTTTAAGAACACTTGGTTCTTCTTGCAGAAGACCAGGGTTCGCATCCTATCACCCACATGGCAGCTAAAAAATGTCCATAACTCCAGCTCCAGGGGATCAAACAGCCTGTTCTGTCCTCCATGGGCATTGCACAATATGGGAGCCCTTACCTACATGCAGGCAATACATGCATACACATAAAAAATAAAAATAATAAATAAAATATTTTTTTCAAAAAGGATGAGTAAGGATTGGTGTGCAGTACATTTTAGCAGAGAGACATCTACTAGCCGAGCACAAGAGGAAATCAAGGAGTGGAAGCAGGGCAAACCTGGCAGTATATGCTGCAGGCACAGAGAGCCCAGAGCCAAGAAGGATGAGCTGCAGAGCCTTAACTGGAATCACAGAGAGCCTTGAATGTGAAACCACAAGGTTTGAACATTTTTCATGGAGTAACCATTAAACATTTGTAAACAAGAAAGCAACATGATGAGAACAGTTATTTAGGGAGATGAATCTGTGCAACACAAGGGCAGAGAGGAATCCCAGTTAGAAGGTAACATGTGTC